AAGATAAGATTCACATTTAAGTGAATCCTTAACCTTTTTAAGAAGTACTGTTAAAACAGCCGATGTCATGGAGGGGGTGGGGGTGTGATTCCGAAACAAGAGCTTCAGCAAATACCTTGCACAACAGGGGTGTTCGCTTGGCAGTAAACTTCTTAAAAACTCGGACGGGAAGCCATCAAGGCCTGGTGCTTTTCCGGTTTTCAATTTTGTGATTGCATTTTTAACTACACAAGGTGTTATATGTCCTTCTAATGCCAACTGATCTGAATCACAGAGGGATGGAAATTCTAAATAATTAAAAAAAGCTCTTAATATGTTCAATTTTGTTTACCTCAGAGCTGTAAAGAGTTTTATAGAAGTTTTTTAATTGATCATTAATTCCCTGTTGATCAGTAATAATGCTGCCATCATCCTTACTAACTGTTGCTGTAACACCAGCTGCTGAGGAGTTTTTCAGTTGATAACACAATAACCTGGCAGCTCATTTCCCATGTTGACAATGAATCTGGCGTGATCTTATGTGGAGATCCGCTGCATTTTCGTCTGTCAAGGAGTCATATTGCGCTTGCAGAAGAAGTTTATTCTTATGGAGCTCTTTGGAAGTTGATGTTGAGAATAGCTGATAAATTGTATTAATTTTATTCATAATCTCTAAGCCGTTTTGACTTTCTTTTATTTACACTAGCTTGATATGAAATAATCTGTCCTCATATTTGCTTTTAGAGTATTTTATAAGATGCTTTAATTTATCTCTGGGGATTTGTTTGTCTCAAGGAAGAAATCAATTTGAGCATCAATAAATTTGACAAAATTGTCATCTGCCAAGAGTCTCGAGTTAAACCGCCAGATTACATTGCCTGGAAAACATAGCTTTGGTGAGACTGGACAATGGTCCGTAATAACAATACTACCATACTCTACTGCTGACATTAGGGGAAGTAACTGCTTGTCTAGGGGAAAATGGTCAATCCTGGAATAGATTTGATGCACAGGTAAACAGAAGGAAAATTGCTTGGAAGATGGATATTTAAATCTCCTGGGGTCACTTACACCATATGTCAGAAGGAAGGAGTTGATACATTGTGCTGGCTGACTTAATGAATTACTCGAAGAGCTGGAGCGGTCCAAAATAGGGTGCAAAACTTAATTTAAATTGTATGTGTCAAGACTAGACAAAATTGAAAATAAATCACTTAAAAATTGTACATTGTCCCAATTAGGAGCATACACATTGGCCAGGACCACAGACATGTTAAAAAGTTTACCTTGGATTATTACATTTCTGCCATTTTTATCCTACACATTTGACTCCATAACAAACTGTACATTCCTATGTATGAGTACAGCAACGCCCCTACTAAGTTTTGCAAAGTTAGAATGATATATTTGTGTATAGCCTCCTCTATTAAGTTTAGAATATTCTTTTTTTTCAACAGATGTGTCTCCTGTAAATATAACATTTCAGATTTTTAATAATTAAGATATACAAACACCCTGTTTCGTTTCACTGGATGATTTAGCCCCTGCACATTCCAACTGGTATAGTTTGTCTTTACTCCACCCATTTTATGGAGGGCTGTCAAAAACATTTATCAGAAGCATCCAAAAGGTATCTGTGGGTTTTGTATGTAGGGGGGTGTATGGGGGAAAGAGAGGAAAGAGAAAAAAGGGGTGATCGCACATACACCTATAAACACGAAACAACACAATATTGAAACAAAAACAAAACTACCCTATTATTGACAAAATATACTTGAGAACTAGAAATAACAACAACGAACATGTGCTATAGTGGTAATTTAAAAGTTAACCAAAGAGTGACATTAACATTTGTATCGTCTTTGACAGCCCAGTGTACTGTCGTGATTGCCTTTAATTTAATGTCTTTCTTCAAAATATCCTCTTTTCGGAAAAGTAGTGGCATTTAATCACGAAGGTTCGTGGCGGTTCCTTGTCGTCCACTGGTTTGCTGTGTAGAGTGCAGTGTGCCTGGTCCAGAAGTGGAGTCTTCTTGGGGTTCAGGGTATCTTTTAGGACGCCAGCTACAAATTCCGTTACACGTCTGCGTTGCTCCCGTCCTTCTTTAACTCCCGTAATGTGGAGATTTGAGCGGTGAGACCTTTCCTCAAGATACTTGCTTTGGTCTTTTAGCAAAGTCAGAGTCAGAGTAACTCTGTCTGAAGCTGGTCAATTTGATTGCAAAGTTCATTTGACTGTGCAATGGCCTTTTCTGCAGTTTTAGCAATCAAATAATCTTTTAGTGCATCAATAGTTTGAAGGACCGCACTGTTGTCATTTGCTGGAGCCGTCTCTTTCTTAGATGCAGCTTGCACTTTGGGGTTAGCATTAGCATGGGGGCTAGTAGCGGATTCCACCTCAATACGGTTGCTTTGGCTTTTTTTCATCCTGATTCAATTCGGATTACGCTCAGAACAGCTAGACTCCGACACTTAAACACTTATTTTCCAGTATAGTTTGGATTTCCGGTAATAGTATTTAGGATAAGAGAAATATTAAATTAAATTTTAAGTTTCACATGAGAATTTCAACAGTTTGCGTCTTTATATGGCCCTGCCATGTCCAAAACAAACAATATAACAATAATTACAATGAAACGCAAGACCGTCAGCCAGTGGCAGTTCTAGACCACAGTAACTGGGGGGGCTGGGCAGGGGCCACTTCTACTTTTAGGGGGCACACTTTAACATACATCACAAACTGTTTAAACAATTATTCGAAGTCATTTTTATGCATCACTCTGCAGTCTTCATAAATATTCATTCATTAATTTTCTTTTCGGCTTAGTCCCTTTATTAATCTGGGGTCACCACAGCGGAACAAACCACAAACTTATCCTGCATATGTTTTACGCAGCGGATGCCCTTCCAGCTGCAACCAATCGCTGGGAAACAACCATACACTCATACACCACGGACAATTTAGCTTAACCAGTTCACCTATACCACATGTTTTTGGACTGTGGGGGAAACCCTCGCCAACACGGGGAGAACATGCAAACTCCACACAGAAATGCCAATGGACCCAGCCAGGGCTTGAACCAGAGACTTTCTTGCTGTGAGGCGATTGTGCTACCCACCGCGCCACTGTGCTGCCCTGTTTTCATAAATAAGCTAATTAAATAACTTAAACTCAAAATAATCTTCCATGTTCATTTATTTTGTAAACTTTGTATTGTAGGATAACACATTTAAAACATTCCAGTACATCAAGGCACATTTTTACACCTGCAAACTTTAACAGATGCAGTTAAAGTCCATTTTTTCCCCCTCCCATTAATTTAAAATTGTGTTTCCCAAGTGATCTAAATTAATCCAAGGAGATTTTCACAATATTTCCTATAAAACACAAATAATTCTTCTGGAGTCATAATAAGTCTTATTTCTTATAGTTTATTTCTTGAATAAAAGCAGTTTTAATAAAAATAAATAAATAAAAATAAGTCAGTGTTATTAGCTTTCTTAAGAAATATTTACTGTATATTTTACTGATTGTCTACACAACAAACCAGTTATATAATAACTTGACTAATTATTCCAACTTTCATAGTTAACATAACCTAATTAATCTTTAAATTACACTTTAATGTGAATCAAAGACTGTAGAGTACTTAAAGGGACTTTATGTTTGCTTTATACATACTTTCGCTCTTTGTTTCTCACGGCCAATCGTTAAATTTACACTGCTCGTCTCGGCAGTTTCTCTTCTCGTTTCCTGCAATGCAAAAGTTCAGTCAACTTCTCTTTCTTCCACACACCACATAATGCTGCCCTCTTCAACTCTCCTCCTCCTCCTTTATTCTCTCACCCATTTCCTTTTTGCCGTCTTATGGGTGTAGACCAATTAAACAATGTTGACTGTCGTCACAGAAAACACCAACTATCATAAATGCATGATTATATGCTGTCATGGCTTTGCAATAAAAAAATTGTTATAATAGAGGCCAATGGAGAAAAAACAGCCATGAATATAATGAAAAGGGAGTAAATTTGCCCAGAGTGTATAGATTTTTTTTTTCAAAGCATTTTCCCAGAATATGTTAAAATAAGATGTCCCCTAAATATCGGTCCGTTTTCTGAAACACAGAGAAAGCTTTGGCCAAATTTAGCTTTAAAATCCCCTAGAATGGATGAAACTGACCCAACAGCACACAAGAAGAAATGTGCACATTCCAGCCTTTATGCAGATGCTGGACAGGTATGTCTCATGTCTGCAAGGCAAATATTCAGCTTTTACCCCAGAACTTTTTTCTGATACGTTGACCAGTCAGGCACCGAATGAACAAGTATTCCCTGTCTGCTATACAAATTTTAGAAAAACATTTTGTTTTAAAAATAGCCGTTTACAGCTTTCAAATTTGTGTCTTATCCATATGACCAAAATGGCTTTTATGATCAATTATGTAAGAAACTCTGAAAACAGGACTGACTCAGTTTCAATTCACTATAACGTCTGTTAAGCGGCTTTGACACAATTTACATTGTAAAAGCATTAGATAAATAAAGATGAATCGAATCTGCTTAAATGTGGACACGTTAATGGACCAAACAAAATATGATCTGGTTTATTTTACATTCGCCATGCATCAAAATTACAGTGTGTGTAGCCAATGTTTCCAGTGTCTTTTCACTTTTCAGCTTTTGATGAGAGTTTTAAGACTTAATGAAAACTAATGTTTTATTTATTTCAGAACTAATTGAAGAGAATAAGGGGAGGAAAGAGGAGAAACATCATGTCAAAATTGAGGAAAAAACTAATTTACAGACTGATGGCATTTTGAAATGGAGAGACCAGAATCGTTTCACCTGCACTCAGTGTGGGAAGAGTTTTGGAAGAAAATGGGATCTTAAGATTCACATGAGGATCCACACTGGAGAGAAACCATTCACATGCACTCAGTGTGGGAAGAGTTTCAGCCGATCATCACACCTTAATGAACACATGAAGATCCACACTAGAGAGAGACCATTCACTTGCACTCAATGTGGGAAGGGTTTCACCCTATCATCACACCTTAATCGACACAAGAAGATCCACACTAGAGAGAAACCCTTCACTTGCACCCAGTGTGGAAAGACTTTTAACTACTCATCATGCCTTAATGAACACATGAGGATCCACACTGGAGAGAAACCATTCACATGCGCTCAGTGTGGGAAGAGTTTCAGCCGATCATCACACCTTAATGAACACATGATTCATACCGGAGAGAAACCATTCACATGCACTCTATGTGGGAAGAGTTTTGGAAGAAATTTCGATCTTAAGACTCACATGACAATCCACACTAAAGAGAACACATTCACATGCACTCAATGTGGAAAGAGTTTCAGCCGATCATCACACCTTAATGAACACATGAAGATTCACACTAGAGAGAGACCATTCACATGCACTCAATGTGGGAAGGGTTTCACCCTATCATCACACCCTAATCGACACAAGAAGATCCACACTAGAGAGAAACCCTTCACTTGAACCCAGTGTGGAAAGACTTTTAACTGCTCATCATGCCTTAATAAACACATGAGGGTCCACACTGGAGAGAACACATTCACATGCACTCAGTGTGGGAAGAGTTTTGGAAGAAAATAGGATCTTAAGATTCACATGAGGATCCACACTGGAGAGAAACCATTCACATGCACTCAATGTGGGAAGGGTTTCAGCCGATCATCACACCTTAATCGACACATGATGATCCACACTGGAGAGAAACCATTCACTTGCACTTAAGCCGCGGTCACACTGGACTTTTCTCCCCATAGATTTCCTTTCATAAGCACGGAATGGGTCAGACCACAAACCAAGTTTGTGTGTTAAGTTTCGTAGTTCACTGCGTTGCAAAGTTTAAGCTTGGTGAACTCTGACCCGTGAAATCTCAACACTTGACTGTGAGACCAATTAAAGATAAAAACATGACCTCTATGGACAGAAATGTAAAATATGTACCAATCGCTCACTTTTTTATGTCTAATCATCTTGTTTAATCCCGCCCCTTTTTGCAGCGCCAAACAACACAATTTCGCATGCTCAAACTCTAGTGTGACCGCAGCTTCGGTGTGGGATGAGTTTCAACAACTCCTCAGACCTTAATAAACACATAAAGACCCACACTGGAGATAAACCATTCACATGCACTCCGTGTGGGACGAGTTTCAACCAATCAGCAAACCTTAATGAACACATGAAGATCCACAGTGGTGTGAAAAAGTATATGTGCTTGAGTGTGAGAAGACTTTTATTACAAAATTGAAACTGCACCAGACGTTTCACACTTGAGAGACCGTACAAGTGTTCACACTGTGACAAGAGGTTTAATCAGTTACCACCTCTGAAAACAGAAGAAGATTCACACTGGAGAGAAACCGTACAGATCTGATGAGTGTCTACAGAATTGGACAAAAGTTGCACACATGACATGAATGCAGCAAAACATTTTCTCATGTGCACAGGATGTTTCATGTCTAAATAATGTTTGAAAAGGCTGAGTGACGGTATACTGTTTTCCAACACTCCTACACTGCAGTAGGTGGGGTTGTAAATGTGTTGTGCTCCTCACGTTTACTGTAAACTCAATGATGGCGGCTGAAAGAATAGTTTCATAAACACCTGGCAAACAGCACCTCTGCAGATTAAAATCTCTCTTTGCAAGTGATTGTACAGGTGCAGATACATCTGTACTCCACTCTCCAGTGTATTCATGTAGCTAGTGTTGTTTTGGATGATGTTCTCTGTCTGACTCCCTGAATGAGTAGCTTCACTGGGAAAACACCGCACATCAAAGAAGGTGGAGCTCCAGGACAGTTAGTTTGCATATACCAGGGCCTCAAGTTTAGAAAACCCATTCAATTGTCCTGTGTTGCATCTTTTATTTGTAAAGTTTCTTTACTTCTAGGATCAAGATTCTTTCTAGTTTACTACATTTACTTTTTTGAGTAGAATACAAACTTGATGAATATTTGATGATTTAGGCAGAGCGACAGGTATTAAAGAGCATATTGGTTAAAAAACTGTTTAAAAAAAAAAGGTAGAATCGTTTGTGAAAATACTCTATAATACCATAAAATATCATATTAAAATGTTTTACAAACTGCAAAAGCACAAATTTTTAAGAAAATGTGTCTGTTTTCCTACTTCCGAAAAGTCCGCTTTTGTGCCCGGTGACATCAGAAGAGTGACTTATGTAACAGGTATGCGTTGTTTACAGTGGGGCAGAGGAGCTAACAGCAGAAATGGTTGTTAGTTTTGGTGTAATTTATCATCATCGTGCTATTTTATTACGTTTATGGGAACTGCACAAACTACAGTCTGTCAACATATCAAGTCCACAAGTTTCATGTTGCTATTTTGGTTCATGAAATGGGATGAATCCGAAGACTGATAGCAGACGCGAAAACAGAGAGAAACACTCCTGGATCAGTCAGAGATGCAGCTCGATGAAAACAAGAGCTGTACACGGTAAGACAACTCGTTTTTCATTTATGTTTGTCAACTTTCAAGTCAGTGAGCATGATTGAGTAATTTGAAGCAACGCAATGTGTTTACTTTGGAGTAGACTAGCACTGCTGCTAGCTTGTATTGTTAAGCATATTAAATATACTTTTTTAAAGTGTGTAAAAATGTTAACATATGATAAGATGGCTAGTAGCATCAGTTTGCTAGTATAATAAATGTCTTCTATAGTTACAGCATTGTGACTTTGTTTGCTTTTTGGTGTGTTTATTAGACTTTGGGAGACATGCTGACGCGGAGCTGAAGGCTTTCCACGGGCTTCTCGCTCAACTGTGCTTCATTGTAGGCTCACAGAGTAACCTCAACTAAGGTAAAGTTGATTTTATATTCGCACATTTGTTTAGTGATAGCTTGTGTGACACACTCTTAGTATTGTTTACCATAGTACTTTGAACATAATGACTGAAATCACACATAAATATGAATTAAAAACAACATTAGCACATAAATGGAAAAAAAAAACTAATTTAGAGGTCTTTAGAATTGCGTACAAAGACAGTATGTCCAGCTATAGAAGGGCTCTTAAATCTGCCAGGGCCGAGCACCTGCGCAAACTGATAGAAAATAATCATAACAATTTTTATTTAACACCATTGCTAAATTAACAAATAATTGGTCAACTATGGAACAAAATGTTCCACCGCAAATAAGTAGTGATGACTTCATAAATTTTTTCAGTGATAAAATAGAAGGCTTATACTCCAAATCCTGTAAATATTTCACTGAGTCATAATAATAATAATAACCTACATTGCTTCAAAATCATAGAACAGGAAGAGCTAGATAAAATTATAAATAGCTCTAAACCAGCTACGTGTATGCTGGACTCAATTCCAACAAAATTACTGAAAGAGCTGCTACCTGCTATAGGAGAACCTCTTCTTAACATTATCAACTCTTCTTTATCTATAGGCCATGTTCCAAACTCTTACAAGCTAGCTGTTATTAAGCCTATTATTAAGAAACCGCAACTAGACACCAACAACTTAGCTAACTATAGGCCTTTCAAATCTTCCATTTATGTCTAAAATACTAGAAAAAGTTGTTTCCACTCAATTATGCTCTTTTCTGCAGACGAACAATATTTTTGAAGTGTTTCAGTCAGGTTTCAGGGCTCACCACAGTACAGAAACCGCCTTAGTGAAAATAACCAAAGATTTACTCTTAGCTGCTGACCCAGGATGCATCTCGCTATTAGTTTTACTCTATCTTAGTGCGGCATTTGACACCATTGACCACAATATCCTCATAAATCGCTTAAAGTCTACAGGTGTCCAGGGACAGGCTCTACAATGGTTTAAGTCATACTTAACTGACCGCTACCAGTTTGTGAATATTAATGGACAGCCTTCACAAGTCAGCCCAGTAAAGTATGGGGTGCCTTAAGGATCAGTTTTAGGCCCTTTGCTGTTTATAATTGACATGCTACCTCTGGGAGACATTATTAGAAGACATGGGATCAGCTTTCACTGCTATGCAGATGATACTCAATTATATATTTCAACTAAACCTGACGAGATGTCTGAACTGTCTAAACTAACTGAGTGTATCAAAGACTGGATGACCAACAAATTTCTTCTCTTAAACTCCGACAAAACAGAATTATTACTTATTGGGCCTAAATCTTGCACACAGCAGATCTCGCAACTCAATTTACAATTAGAGGGATACAAAGTTAGCTTCAGCTCTACTATAAAAGATTTGGGTGTCATATTAGACAGCAATCTAACTTTTGAAAATCATATATCCCATGTCACAAAAACTGCCTTCTTTCATCTGAGAAATATCGCTAAATTACGAAATATGCTATCCATCTCAGATGCAGAAAAGCTAGTCCATGCTTTTATGACTTCAAGGCTGGATTACTGTAATGCTCTATTTGCTGGCTGCCCAGCATCCTCTATTAACAAACTTCAATTAGTACAAAATGCAGCAGCCAGAGTTCTGACCAGGTCTAGAAAATATGATCATATCACACCAATTTTATCCTCCTTACACTGGCTGCCTGTTGAGTTTCGTATTGAATTTAAAATATTACTTCTCACCTATAAAGCTCTAAATAATCTAGCTCCTGTTTATCTAACCAACCTTCTGTCTCGCTACAATCCAGCTCGCTCTTTAAGATCTCAAATTCAGGGCTTCTGGTAGTACCTAAAGTAGCAAAGTCGAGTAAAGAAGATCGAGCCTTCTCATTTATGGCTCCTACACTCTGGAATAGCCTTCCTGATAACATCCGAGGCTCAGACACACTCTCCCAGTTCAAAACTAGATTAAAGACCTATCTGTTTAGTAAAGCATACACTCAATGCAGCACTTAGCGGGTTTCCACACAAGTTTCTGCATCTTGCTTATATACACTATGAACAGCAGCTACGCTAATTTTTCTCCTTTTTCTCCATTTCCACCTGGGGATACTCATCCCGAGGTCCTCAGATTATGCAGAGTCACTGATTGGACCCAAGACCAGCGACGAGATGATCCCAAGGTTTCCATATCCGGGACCAGGCCGTATCCTGAGCTGCTGCTGCGCTGTTGGTCATGGGGGAGTGGAGAGTATGAGACTGATTACAGTGACGCTCCAGGGACAGACGAGTCTTCACTGAGGCCATCTTCCAGCCTCCACTGCTGAGACTGCAGCTCTGCACAAGACTTTTGGCCAACGGAGAAATTAAAATGGTCGTGCCCAACTGATTCTGGTTCTCTCTAGGTTTTTTTTCTTCACTCTCCTATAGGTGGTTTTTTTCCCCTCTCTGCTGTCGCCACTGGCTCGCATGGTTCAGGATCTGAAAAGCTACGCATCGATGAATTTGCTCTACAGTGTTTGGACTCTCGGTAATGATTTTAAACCACACTGAACTGAGCTAAACTGAACTGAACTTAAACACTAAACTGAACTACCCTGATCCAGTTACTATGACCATTTACGTGAAGCTGCTTTGACACAATCTACATTGCAAAAGCGCTATACAAATAAAGCTGAATTGAATTTAATCAAATATTATACACACGGGCGTAAATCCCGGGGGGGACATGCCCCCAGCCCCCCACCCCCCCCAAAAAAAAAAACTATAAAAAAAAAAAGTGAAAAAAATAT